CATTTTAACTATTTTTGCACAGACCAAAGTGCAAAGCAGTGAAAATCATTAGTAGGCAATCTTTCGAACGGAAATGCACAAAACGCATGATCGCTACGGCTGCCCTAGTGCGCGTCGCTATTTACTGCAGTTTGCATATATGCAAAAATGCATAATAACAGCTTCCTCCCGCATTTCATGCTGTATGTATTCAATCGTCGCTGTCTTCCACCAACGATTGTAGTTCTCAACGTTTTTCTTAAATTTCCTTTTGTATGAATGTGTCAGTAGCATTCCAATCTACGTTTTATTTTTAGTGTTTGTGATGTGTAACAACTGAACAGAAGGCATACTGCTACATCCTTCCTTGTGCGTGTGTGTATTTGTGTATTTCTACGTAGTGTGTATACGTTTCAACTCTCAACTCGGGAACCACAAGAGCTAGAACGCCGAAGTTTAAGGATAATGTCCCCGCCCATGTGTGACCCTGCAAATTTCGTACGGCCTCGTAAAATTTTAGGTGGAAAAAATTATTATCTCGAGAAACAGAAGAGCTAGGAGGTTGAGACTTCATTATGATTTCTCTGTCTCATATTTATGCCTGGGTCTCATAAATAGCCACGTGAAAGTTCTGGCGTGAAAATCACTAACTCGGAAGCCAAGAAACTAGGAAGCTGAAAGTTTGAAAGGACGCCTCCTGCCCATACAAATTCCAAAAATCCAAAGATAAAATCCAGAGATTAAATTCAGTTTTCATGTAACGGTGAAATTTTTAGAGGGAAATTTCGCATCTTAGGAACCGGACAATACATTACCTGTTTTTGCACTATCAAAGTGTAAAACAGTGAAAATCCTTAACATCAAACATTCGCGGGATGGAATTATGCAAAACGCATCGGCTACTTTGGTGCGTGCCACTATTCATCATGTAATTACAGGTATACGTCGGATTTGGAAGGATTAAACTTGTCTTGCGCAATGCAGAAACTTAGCCTTCATGGCAAAATGCTCATAATTTAAAAATGAACCAAGAAAATTAAAACATTTGGAAGACAAGAAAATAAAGGAAAGGAGGAAAATAAAAGACAGGCAAAATGAAGACTGAAACTTACATGCACCAGGTTTTGCACCAAAAAGACTCGGTGTGGTTTGTGCTTTTAATGAAAATGAAGACGACGGTGCGACAGCATTCGACTGCTGTTGTGTAAACTGACTGAAAATACCGCTACCACTTGTGGCAGAAGTTGTAGCAAGACCACCACCAAATACAGAAGTATGATTTTTCCCCGAAGCAGCATTACCACTGCTAAACAATGGCGATGTATGGAACTGCGGCTTGCTGAATTTGAGACCAGCTCCAAAAACGTTCTGCGATGCATTCGAAACTGGCCTGACACTTCCAAATCCTCTAAAATCATATAGAACTCATATATATTTCTTGCTTATTACGCGACATCCAGGAGCTGAATTACTATGTGGTGAAGAATGATGATGATGTCCTTAAGCTACCAAGTACACCTCGCAAAACCTTGACAAATGGTTCTTTCGCAAGAATCGCTAAGCTGGTAAGCCGACTGTTAATCCGTTCAGGAGAATTAACGAAAGTAAGACCCCCAGCAAACTCACCATCAAACGATGCAGCACTGGCCAAAGTAACTGGAGATGTTGCAGCTGTATCAATAGAAAATAAGACTGGCTTACAATTTCTTCAGGTAACCCAGGCGCTCACTCGACGCTTAGATACTAAAATCACTAAATGCAGAGAAGCGTCCGATTAACGCTCCATACAAAGTCTTAACGCGATCAGCTCAAAGCTGACCAGACTTGGAGTGTTAACTGGTGGAAGAGGCTGCCGTCTTTCTCACATAAACATATAAACAATTTAATCATAAAATGTCTTTTCTGATTCGTAGAGAGCATTTGGTGGCAACAGCAGCGAGAAATCTCAAATCTAAAAGGGCAAAAATGCTGCCAATAATCACTGCGTCACGAAGTGCTGTTACTGAGCAGTGCACAAGCACAAAAATACACTAAATTTTAACAGAAATTTCAATTAAAAAAACGAAAGTTCAAAGAAAGAAAACTTACAATGATGAAGAAAAAAGACCTGTAGGGGCCGCCAACGGCCCTTCCGCTTCCATCATTCCTTCATCACTGTAAAGACAATCTTTTTTTACAGCTACAATCGCTGGCAAATGCCAAAAGCACATTTTGACTGGTGAGGAGGACTACATGCCTCGCATGGCAGTAAATTTAAATTTCCGCGCACCGTATCAAGCCCGACTCTTATTTTCAAAAATCAAGATAAATTCACAATCAGTCTTTAAATGCTCCGGGGAATAGGCTGATAAAGACTTATTGGACGAAAATCTGCTGAAACGAATAAAGAACCCTCTAATTTGTAGCATTATGCCCCAGCTGATCCGTTAATTAACCGCGCTCCCAAAATAAACCGATGCATCAAGGCCCTCTGTCGGCTTCATTATTTAGCTAATCCCGATCAGCGACTAGTCTCACTGGTGGATAATAAGACAAGGCAAACGTATCTTAAGTTCCTTCAGCAGCAAATTCACTGACAGGTCACTGTTAAGTGTTTTAGTATTGAAGGTACTCATAAAAACAAGACCGACGACTAGGTGGACTTCGAAAATTGTAGCCATTACGAAATCAACCGGTAGTCGTCCTCTTCTGTTTTTTCACTTTGAAGGAAAAGGGAAAAGGGTTCGAGATATGAGCCCTTACGGTTGACGAACAGTGAAGAAACCTAACAAATGTGTGACCACTATCGTTACCATTAACGACACCACCGAAATCAGCAGTACAGAAAGTGAAGAAAGCTGTTTAGTTACATAAGGCTCACAGCGTCAACAAAATGCATCGCAACGACAAAAACAGTCCCATTCGGCATGCACCTATCGTGTGGTGGAGGAGCAGATGCATCCGGATTCCAGCACCTCATCAGGGACAATATCCAATAATGAACTCATTCGCAAACGACGTCTTCCAATGTTTTGCGGTCAAAACTAACCGACTGGCACACTACAACAAATGCTCAACAGCTTGGTCGCGAGACCCTCAGACTCGCCAGAAGACATGAAAGTCATCATCAAGTGTACCCGTACGAACTGAAGTCTAAAATAATACAGAAATGTAAATCGATAAATTAGAAAAGCATACCTCATAGTATCCAAATCCGCTAGGGTTTCTTGCTCCGCGGCTGATGTTGTACCAGATGCTGCAGTGCTTGTTATTCCTAAACCAGACAATTAAGGTCACATTATCTGTCTCGTAGCAGCTAATAGTCGCCACTTGGTGCGGATCTAAATATTAGCATTTGGAGCTTACGCTTAACTCATTCCGCATTTCCTGAAGGCAATGATTTAAAAGCCCGTACAAAGGAGAGAAAAATGCGACGAAGCTGAAATTTTCCCTCCAAATAAAAAAAAAGAAAGTCCACCAGATGTATGCACAAGAGCACTGAAAATCCCACACAGACCAGTCCCAATCTAAGTACCAAAAGTCAGTGAGTACTGTGTGCGTTTTTGAAAAGCTAGTTTATATTATCCTATACTAATCTGATGCTCTGATAATTAACTCAAGAAAAAATTAAACTGATTACTGTCATGATTTTTAAAAAATTCCAGCAAACTCAACAATTCTTGCGAATCAATACACACCAAAAATAGTATAAAACTGGAAATGCCTATGTTACTAGCAGAGAGACGAAGGCAGTGAGGGGAAAAAAAAGGACATGCCCAATGTGAAAACAGCAAATAGCGCACCAAATTATGTTTCAGTGACAATATTTTGGGAATTCTGTTTCGTATTGCTAGCTGATTATATCTCCAACCATTAACTTACCGGTAGTCGGCACAGATGTAGCTGCCGTTGCCACCGCACCTCGCGTCGCTGTTTCTTGTTTGTCTTCGGGTAGTAATTTGAAAGTGAAGGACACTGCCGTTTCAGGGCTTGTTGTTCTCGCTGCGACTGCTGCAGTTGTTGCCGGTTCTGCTCCTAGCTTGGGCTGGCTTTCTGACGTCGAAATCTTGCTAGCTGCCGAAGATGACTGCGCAGCAGGTGCTGATCGTAATACGAAACTTGTTTTGTCAGCAGATGAAAAATCCTTTCCATAACTCTCCGACGAAATAACCGCTGCAGGCTGTTCAACTACCTCCTTGGAAGTCTAAAAGGAAGCAATTCTTTAACTCAAAAACATTGTCTTCGTATAATTCTGGGATCATGGCATAGGCCTGTAGGATGCACAGTAGCAATATATGCCAGGAAAAAGAGTTGGGCTAATTGTGTGATAGGAATAAAAAGTATCAAACAACACAACAGCACTACTGGCTGACACATAGTATCTGCGAAAATACAAACTTGATTTTTGATTTCAAGTGGCTTACTTAACAAATTAAAAGTAGAAGTGAGCGAAGACAAAATGATAACCAAATTACGATTTCAGAATGGCACACTCGGTCACTAACCCGCTGAGAAGCATCGCAAAAAGAATAGAAACCGCAAAGTCGGTCTTGCAATGGATGCCCATAAAGTCAGTTTAATTGTGGGCAATGTCGATGCGCCTATAACACCAAAGAGGGGCATGTATAAATGTCATACGCTTAATGACAATAAACACATCAAAAGATCTAACAATACACCAGCTTAACTCGAAACTCTCTCAACTCATGTTTATTTGCAAAAATGGTTCTGTTCACGGCACATCATACAAATGCGTATTACGATTAAGGCAATGAATAATAAGTAGCAACGCGAACCAGACTAGTCGGTGCGATCATGCGTTCTGCGCAATCCAGCCCATCGAACGATTGCCTATCAATGATTTTCACTGCTTTGTACTTTAGTCTATGCAAAA